GTGGGTGCCCCATTGGATCCCTCCATCGGTGTTGATTACCTATATACCTTCGGCCCTATCGGACAGAGAGAAGTGAGCAGCGAAGCACATGGCGGCAAATCATCGTGTACATGTTGCCGACGAACATTTTCTCGACCTACTCAAAATGTACACCGTTCTGATACTTCTATCGGGCAGTTTCTTCTTCAGAAATGTCTACAGAATCCGATCCTGGGTAGAGTTTACGTGCTGAATTGCGGAGAGACTGCTCACGTCGACACTTTTTTAAACTTTGACATCAATTTATTGCTATTTAGGACCAAAAACAATTAATAAATTGAATGCCACTATATTCGGGAAACTCTCCTCTATCTTTTAACACCGATTAGAACTTTCTTACGTTTGTACTTTTCATGCAATACCTCATTTTTGTCGAAAATTTTGGGTTTTTACAAAAGTTCGTTCATTTAAAAAACTGAGGGTGATGGAGCAATTCGGNCTCCTCTATCTTTTAACACCGATTAGAACTTTCTTACGTTTGTACTTTTCATGCAATACCTCATTTTTGTCGAAAATTTTGGGTTTTTACAAAAGTTCGTTCATTTAAAAAACTGAGGGTGATGGAGCAATTCGGTTTTCGGATTCTTGTTCAGGGAGTGAAGCTCTACAAGAATTTCATAGTGGCTACAGGAACCCAGAAAAAAGGTTTGATTTTGTCGGACAGTGTAAGACGAATGGAAACGGATTTCGCTGGAGTATTTAAATAAAATCATCTGTAACATGCCCAAGCGATTACATGAAGTAATAAAACAAAAGGATCAACCGACAAAATATTAATATTATGATAACATGATTAAAAAGATTTTCATTTTATATAAAATTAATGTAATGTAATGTTGTTTATCGCTTAACAAAATTTATGTTTCTACTTACTTTAAGAAGTGCTTTATTATATCAGAAAACAATTGATTCAATAATACTATCGTAAACATTAAAAAGGAGCAATAATTCTTCTAACAATATCGTGTCCGAATATTAATGCGAGTCACTGTACGTAAATAAACTGTTCATTTTGTTTTCTGTACATTAAGAATTTAAGTCTTTCTTTCAAATATGTGAAGCCTCTGTTTGTTAACAGTAGAACCATTTCGAAGAAATAATGCCTCCTTCAGTTAAAAATTTATGTTTCTGATTGAATACATGAAATTTAACGTGAAAAAATGTTCATTCTATTATCCGAAATATTCTTCGAACAATTTTTTCTCCCTGTTATGTACACTGTATATAATAATCAGAGACTC